CTTGATTTAAGCAAACAAATTTCTATGTGCGCTTTAAAAATTGTAGGTAAAACTGTTGAGAAGCGCTCGACTTGGGCTTGTTCCAAGTTTTTTTTCCACTACTGCATATCCCACTCGGCGGCAGGCTTCCGGAGAAAAGCGGAGGGATTCTCGAAAAAAAAAAAGTCCGGAAAAATGGTAGGAAATTAGTAGAATTCAAGAAGTGGGTAGAGCACGTGGTTGGGTAAAGGGGAAGGGTGCGGGTCGCACCAGAGAAGGAAATTTCGGCGGAGTCGTATACAGCAGATCTCCTTAACGGCAGGACGGGCCCCTAACTGTGGGGACATTCCATAAGCATTGTAAACTTTTTGGTCGTTGAGGGGAAGTGAGGGGGGGGGGGAGGACCTTCAAGCGGAAGTTGATTCAGCAGCTCCTCATTGAACTGAACAGGGTGTCCGGTGCAATATGTATCTGGGAGGTCGAAATTGAAATTCTTTAGTTGCCTAGTTCAGTGTTGACTTCTTTTGTAAGAACCCACCCCCAATTTTCCAGCTGTCATTGCTTTTGGCCTGACCTTTGGAAATAAGCCTTTGCTGCTCTAGCTCCTTAACTATACGCCAAAGAAGAGGGTCTTGAAAATGCTCATTATTGCCTGCTCCTTCATTTGATCTCCTACATTCTACAAAAATTAAGTCTGCAGAGAAACTAAGGATACTGTGTATTGAGCCGAGTAATTTTCTACCAACTAGTTTTCTGTAAATTGGATAAGCGTTTCTTCTTTTATGCAAGCTTTTGTGTTTAAAAATGCCGTTTTTTTTTGGGGCCAATCCAATATGTGATAACCGCGACTTCCTTATCGCTATATAGAAGTTTTTCTGAAGGAATTCTGCGGTGTTACTGACAACGATGTTGCAATGCGATATTTGACTCACTGCCACGGCGATTTGCAAGCAGCTGTTCAGCTATATTTCCAGGTATTTTTTTAATACTTATGAAACCATTTCTGTACCACCTACAATCCTTAGAGGCAAACCACGCGATTGTATTTTGTGGATAATAGCGTTCACTTACAAACCTGTAGTCGCCAAGTTACATTTCTGAAAAAAGAACATCGCAAACACCTGAATGAGGCCCCCTGGGAGCCTCTGTAGACGAGTTTTCCGGATCTGCTCATTTTCTGACAGGAGCGACACACTGCCCCTTCTAGTTCTACTTGTTTCTCCGCGTCGTTCACTTCTCATTCTATCTTAAAGTGAAAGAAACGAAAACGGCCATGTAAATGGTGAGCTTGCAACAGAAAAGTTCGAGTAGGTGGGCAGGCAGCTATAGAGGCGTTACAGCTGCCACTTACGATAACCGTAGCGCCTTTGTTACTTACTAAGAAGTCGCGAAAAAGGGAGAATCTCGGAGAAAGCGGGCCAGGCTACTCGTACATAGATGTCTAGGAATTGATTTAGTGCAGGATGCTGTCTTCTGAAGGCAGCTCTTGCGATCAAGTAATCCGGAAAATGCATCCGTGCATTCGGACATCCAGGTCTGCACGCGCAGAGTGCGTCTTACATTCGTCGCTTATCCGCTCCAACAAGTGGTAGAGAGCGCGTTCCGCACCGCGCCTCTAAATCCATCCCGCCGGACGCGCCCCTGGTTATCTGGTCAAGGGAGTCGTAATTCGCCGCGCCGAGCGGGCGTCGCGTGCGACGTCGCGAACGCCAATGACAACGGTTTTAGCCTAACCAAGTACAAGCACTTCTTTCTCCTTCTGAACGTATTCTTAAACACTTTGTGTGATGTCCTTATTTCATCTTTCTGACCCATTCTTTTTAACCCATCTTTGTTGCATGTGCACCTATCTTATAAATTCTCTCATTTTATCCTTTCTCAACTTCTTCTATGGCGTCCGTGTCATTGTTTCGTCGAACTTCCTTACTGATGAGATAGATGGTTGGCGAGACAGTGAGGCATTGTTCACAGTCTGCGACCCAGCGTTTCTCTAGAAAGAAACGCTTCGGCGAAAAGCTTTCGATACGTATCGATTGGCGGTTGGGCGAAGAGTCTGGCGGTTGCGCGAAACGGTTTTGATACGTATCGACGGGCGGTTCGGCAGAGCGGTTGGACTAACAACGCTAATCTCACCACCCTGGTGTTTTTCTCTGGGGCGGAGCCAGCGAGATCGGTACGCATCTATTGCCTTTTACCGAGCCTATGAACCGCGACGGCGTTTCTCCAGAGCGGTTGGCTCTTCTCCGATCCATACGTATTTAGTGCTTTTGCCGAAGCGCTGTTTCGTCAGGGTCGCAGTCTGTGAACAGTGCCTTAGCCCCTTCGTTATTTACTGTGAGGTAGGGAGAATTTCAGGAAAAAGTGGCCCAGAATACTCGTACATAGAACGGTGCCTAGGAATTGGTTGAGCGCAGGATGCTGTCTTTGAAGGCAGCTCTTGCGATCAAGTAATCCGGAAAAGCATCCGTGCATTCGGCATCCAGGTCCGCACTGGCAGAATGTGTATTACATTTGTCGCTTATCCGCTCCTAACAACTCGTAGAGAGCTGGTTTGGCACCGCGCCCTAAATCCATCCCGTCGTACATGCCCCTGGTTATGTGGCAAGAGAATCGTAATTCGTCGCGCCAGCGGGCATCGCGTGCGACGTCGCAAACGCTAATGAGAACAGTTTTAACCTATCAAGTACAAGCAGTTCTTTTCCCTTCTGATCATATTTTTTACACACTTTGTGTGATGTCCTTATTTCATCTTTCTGACCCATTCTTCTTAACCCATCTTTGTTGCATCAATTTTGCATGCACCTATCTTATAACTTCTTTCATTTTATTCTTTTCTCGACTCCTTCCACTGTTTAGTGTCCTTGTTTCGTTGACCTTCCTTACTGATGAGCTTGGGGGTTGGCGAGGCAGTGATGCTTCGTCGAAAAGCGAAACATCTGTGCTTCGAAGTGTTTTCTCTTTCTAATATTTTGTTATTTCTGTTTTTAATTAGGTGGTATTGGTTGGGAATAAGCAGTGCAGGACCAAAAATAGATATAATCCGATGCTCCAATCGAAAGAGTAGCGCAAATTATGGGAACGTCGCGCCCATCGCCGCGCGCGACGGAGCGGCAATTTACGATTCCGCCTGTCAACCCGCGCCACTTTATCCGCAGCGAACCGGACTGTATACGTGCTATTGCTTGCAGTCTCCTAGAACAACTTCATGTGCTTTACCCAGAATATAGTACCTTGATGACTCATTTGTGAGCTCATGGGTTGTTTTTCTTTCTCTGGATACCTTTTTTGAAAACAAGAAATCATAAGCAGAGGTAGGATGCGTTCGAGCGTTGCTTGAGTTTACCAACAATGCAACAGCGTTCGTGCAGAAGCTCGTCGTTTATCGCTTATTGTAGTTTTAATTTTGTACACAGAGTTTTCGAGTGTATTTTATGTTGCGAGTCTTGCTCCAGTGTTTTTCTCTTTTCTAGTGTTGAATAGGATTTAGTGCTGGATGATGCGAAGAAACAATTTATGAACGTGCGGTTGATAGAGACCAAAGATTGTCGATTTGCACGCAATTCCGGAGAATTATAATTTATCATAATTATTGAACACCCACTACCCGTAATACTTGATCGCGGAAATTGTTTCTAAATCTATCAAGTGACCACAATTGAAATGTCCTGTTTTAGACCGACGGCGTGCTGAACGTAGAGCCTGACATTGACGATTTTCCCGAAGTGCCTGCGATGGGAAACAGACGAAGAAATTCCGAATCAGCGTTCGGAGACGATTCCGATTCATTTGAAGAAAGTAGCCACTCCCAAAACGCAATCACTAACTCCAGGTTAGTCGATTACTATAAAGTTTTTGGACTTGGAAACATGACCACCCAACAAGATTGCAACTACCCGTAAAAGACCCGTGAAAGCTTCATTCATGTTTCATAATTATGTGCAATGAAGAGCATATGTATTTGTCAATTTTAGGCGCGATACATCTCGTTGGTCCGTAATCCAGCCATGGCGTCAGTTTCATTGTTGCTCTTATCGCACTGCCGTTCAACTTTGTCATCTCTACTATTTTCGACGTCTTGAAGTTCTTCTGTGAGTTTAGTAAACAATGTAGGGCCTAATTCAGGAAGTCTGACGAGTGACGCTGCATCCAAACTAGCACTCCTAGCTAATCGACTCGACGCAGCATTAAAGCGTCAATTCGAATATATTATGATTAGTTTTGTTGATGTATGGCTGTCAAAACGATACAAAACGTAACCTGCTGTGATACAATTTATTTCACGCGAGTCAATGTATCGAGTCAACTAGATAGTAATATTAGCTAGTTTGCGAGGGAAGCTTGGGTATGTGACAAGATAATCGTAGATCGTCGCGCTGGATTGGCGTGCATGCGAGTCGCGCGCGCAAATGAGGATGTTTCTAGTTCATAGTCGGCGGCGACCATACACAATGTTGAAAATGAAATCTTCTGCTCCGATTGACAGGCTGATGCGAAATAAAAGCGCCACACCCATTATCGCACGCGACTGATCGACAAGCTACGATTGTCTTGACCGTCTTTCGGAGAGCTGTGCTTAGCACCCTCGTTAGAATAGTCGTAGCACTGTACTTTCTTTCACATGCAATTTATTTTTCCAGACGATCTGGTCATTGGTGAAAGAGTTCCTGCGATTGCTGATTTCCGTAATGATGTGGCCAACTTTAGAAGGGCTGTAGTCGACGTTTATGGCCAGACGAGAGTGGAATTTTTCGATGGAACGTTTGATGAAGTTTGTTTTCGCTTTCCTTGTTTGATACTTTTTCAACTAATATGGTATAGCTTGAGTTCTCGAAGAACATAAGCGTTGCAGGAAAGTTTCAGCCATCGCTGAATCAAGTTCTAAATTTCAGGCTTTCATAGCTGCTTCTGATGCGAACACAATCTTTGCTGCTTACCTATTCACTCCGGGATCACGTGTATGTTACTTTCTTGTTACCTAAGGTCAATGATCTATACATGGGGATTTTCAGTACTCAGAAGAAATGGTGCGCCAAGTGCTAATGGATGATGATTTCAATGAGACTTTGCTCAATTTCAATGTTGTATTGTGGGGTGTTGATCCAAGAACAGCTGCAGGAAAAGATGGTAACTAGTTTCTTGAAGGCCCAATTTCTCTAAATGAATACTTTTACCTGTTACAGCTTCGTACAGATTGCGAGTTTCAACATTTCCAGCATTTGCCGCTTTGTCGACCCGTGATCACAGCATGGTTGGTTACATCTGATATTTTTCACGTTTGGGGGCAGGGCGGCATCTTACTAAATACTTGATCATTTTTTTATTTTCTTATCTTAATAATCAATTTCTATGGGCTATGTCGAACAGTTTAGCTGATGCGTGTCGAAATGCCCGTCGAAGCTCGCCAGATTTGGCCTCTGCTTCGTCAGTGTGCTCTGGAGGAAATGGAACAACGTGAGGAGGAAGAATTTAGAAAGTAAGAGATGTTTTCCTGCTAGGGACTTCTTCTTTGATCTCCCACACCCTAAAGCCTTTGTTCCCCAATTAAATCATCGTGTCAGGCGCGTACTTCGTGAAAATCGTCAGCTAATGCAGCAACAGGAAAGGGAGTATCGTGAAAGTGAGGAGCGCGACAGGGCCCTGATGGCTGAGCGTCGTCGTCAGCAGGAATTAAAGGAGGCAGCACTTCTGAAGCAACAAGAAGAGGAGAGGGAGCGTCAAGACAAGTTTGAATGGCGCCTAAACGTGCGTTACCAACTGAATTATATGTACTTGTATTTGCAACGAACGTAGATGTTCCAGTTCCAATTTTGGTTTAAGTACGGCCATGATCTCTGCAAACGATGAAGCGTAAGAAGCGGTGTGATTGTCACCGAACCGCGCCGCGTCACACGCCTTATCGTTTGCAGGGAACATCCTTGCAATTTTGGAAGTAAAATCGACTATGTCGTTTACGCATGTCTCCTTGCGTTAATTACAAGATCTGAAAGTTTCTGCGAATCAACTGGATAAGTAGCATGTAACTATTTTAGAAACTGCATGAAATGCGAGATGAGTTCCTGGCGAACCCTGTCTCAGACGATTTTGACGGACCGGATTCCATCCGAGTGATTGTGCGCTATCCATCTGGGAATACCAGTCAGCATAAGTTTGCGCCAGAAGATAACACCGAGGTCAGTTGGTTCATTACTAGTTTACTATGTACCCATATCTTTGACATGGGATGGGCGTGGCTACGTATTTCATAGAAGCGTGGCGGCGGCTGCTCTTTTAGTGGGATCTTGCCAATTGGGCCGATTGCAGCCATGTTTGTGCCTAGCACAACAACAAGGTGATGGTTGTTTTGAATGGAACCGTTCCACGGAGAAACGCATCCTGCGCCATGTTCAATAAAGTGCGCAGCCACGTTCACCTCATCTCAGGGATATGAAGTGTACCTTTTTGTAAGGAAGTGCTGAAAAAAAAACATGAAGTTTGTCTTCCAAGTAGGTCTTCACTGGCAAATATTTTCAGAAGCTGTTTGAAGTTATTTTTGTGAAAACGGTGTGCCCCAATTTTTTCGAGGCCCATTACGGTTATCCTCGTATCAAGCTCGACTTCTGTCCTCGAAGGTTTGTTTCTGTGGTCTATGGATTTTTTTTGCTCCTTTTTTTCTTCTTGTGGGAGTGATGGGTGAGGCACTATACTATAAAAACAAGCTGGATACAGTACTCTGCGTGAAACAGTGCGCAGAGGGAGCGTGTGCACACAACTCTGCTCAGTTTTCGCTCCAGGCCCGAAAACCTACATAAACCAGTTGTTCAAAGGGCGTATAATATTGGCTGATTGGCTTCAAAAACTGAACAGGTTTACGGTATGTCCAGTTGCGTGCGGCGGACATGCTCAAATTCACGCGCAACTTTCTTTGGTACTGTATCTCGCCTGTTTTCTTAGCTTATAACCTCGTGTATGAGACAACAACGAACAATTCAGATATTACGATATTTTGTGTGATCATCGTGAGTCGATGGGTCTGGAAAATTACCCGTATGTGGAACCGAAGACGTTCAAGGAGCTCGGTATTAAATCTTCCCTGGCTCTCTACGTCAATGATGTTGACTCTTAAAACAACTTTCCGAGGTTGTAATTCTCAATTATATTCAATTCAGTTGTGTCGATTCCCATCATTTCTTAATTAACGTTCTCTTATAGTTTTTTTTTCTAAGTTAGAAAAGTGATAGGTTCTTATTATGTCTGAGATGGTAGTCGTCACAACGGGTTCGAGATCACGCACCGAGCTAAGTTTCTTTTCGCGTTCATCTTCTTGCAGTTGAGATTCTCATCCCTCCGTTGTACCCCAAAAATTTGTGATGTGAAGAACCTGGTATGATTTGATCTGGTTTTTGTCCTGCATGTGACATCTTTGTATGTCTTTAGGGTTTCTTTTTGTGCTATCAAATATTTTCTTTTTCGTTTCCTTAGAAAGGCAGAGTTAGCGATCCTTATTGTGTTGGAGTTGAATTTGTCAGACTTCTATGCCCATTTGGTGCAATTAGAAGCTTAAAGGGTATGTACTGAGATCGACCTTACATTGTGAGGTCTTAATGGTAATTCCTGTGAATGTTATGTAGAGCAAGTCCATTTTTCAGTATTTGGAACTGGGCTTTGTTACTTTATTGTAATTTTCTTGGTATTCCGCGTTGTTCACGTCAGCGTTTTGTGTATTTTATTCTGTGCTGACTGAAATGGATGTGATTGTGCTGCATCCTCTGCGTGCCATAGGGTAATAATGGAATGTAGCTGTGGTTCCGAGTTCCGCCCATCCTCAGGATGACGTTGGAGGCAATGGAGGCAGTGTTTAGAGCGAGGGGGTCGGAATTCAGGATTATGGCTTTATATCATGCCTTTCCGGTTGTTGAGATCATCCTGCTCTCGTCTCTCATTCGTTCGTGGCTTTCTGTTCATGTATAGCCGTGATTCTATTGATATGCTTCCGTTTCCGTTCAGTCTTTTTTGAAGTCATCTGGTCGTCCATTGTTCATAGTGTTGAGGAGAACGTACTTTTCGCAGAGCTCACTGCGGGTTGACAACACAGCAGTCTCCATGCTTGTGCCTTCCCAGTTGTACTTAAAGAGAAGTTTTTCCAGCGTTTTATCGCCCAATGCTGTTCTGTATATTTTTTCGCGTAAGCGATATTTGACCTGTAAATGATGTGTTTTCTGATTATGGTTGTCAGAATGAATTTATGTTCAGTTTGTGGTCTCATAATGATTTCGAATGGGACTTGTTAGATGGACAGACCTTAAAGGCACAGGGCACAATAATTTGGTACTGTCTGAAATAGAAGCAAAGGTGCTATATAACGGGAAAATGGCGAAAAAAACGAAGTGAACCGACAAAAAAACCTATTTTACACAACCCAGAGGGGTTTTTGGACGAGTTTCCCGTTGGCGTCGTGCCAATAACCGCTGCGGTAGATACGGCGGCATGTATACTTATATACCGATGCAGCAGCGTAGCCGCTTCATACTCTACTTCGCAAATGCGATACGGTCAACAGCATCGATAGGACATTTGTGGGCAGGCGGGAGCAGTAGGTCCGCTGTAGCTTGTTGGAGCGCCGTAAGGTCCTTTCTTTAAAAAGGCGCTAGGCCGCGCATGCTTAGAGGCGCCAAATTCTGTCCTGATAGGCGTATTGATCCTATACACCTTCAGGATTTACCGGGCCAGTTGGCTGTGAGGTAGGCTGTACGTTCACCTCCGAGGACCCTCATTCCTGCCATATGCGAGGTTAACAGCCATAGACGTGTAGTTTAGCCTGATCGTAGCTGAGCGCGCTAGTTGTACGCGCCCTCTCTTGTTTGCTTAAGACGCTCGTTCTGCAGCTTACATCGCTGCGGGACCTTGGTGTCGATGCAACTTACATACATAATGCGCAGCACATTGTACACTCGAAATCCCTGAGATGTGGTAGGCTTGGCTGCGACGTGGCCATGATTGTGCTTTCAGAGAGACATTTCCATTTTGACACGGTTGTTATCGTGTCTCTGCGAACACAGAACAAGATGACAGCTGTATCAGGCTCAAATATCCCACGGGTAACCAATCCTGCGCCATGTTCAAATGCCACGCCTGCTCTGTCTAAGGGATAAGGAGTGTACATAGTGAGTGGAGAACCAAACGGCATGCCGCTATCACAATAGTCGAGCTTCATTTTCGCGCACTTTTGAGTTACGAGAGTGGCACACTTCTACAGAACCTGTTTACATGGCTATGGGAAGGAAGCGCCTTCCATGTACACTCCACATCCTAGTGATGGAGTGGGCGTGGATGCGTTCTTTACTTGCTGTAGGTGTAGGATGCGGACATTTCCATATGGTACAAGTGTCATCCTATCCTGCGTTGGACAAAGTGATGAGTGCAGCCGCTTGGAAACTGCAAAAACCCTCCAAAAGTGCAGCTGTCGCCGCTAAGTAAAGTAAGCAGTCACGGACTTCGCATCTCTGGGATATGGAGTGAAAGTGTACGTTATGCTGCTCCGAATGTGGAACCATCGCTCAAGGAAAACATTCGATAATGTCGCAGGCAGTTGGGGTAATGACACCCACGGCGTTTGCTACCATTGGTTGCAATCTTTCGAAATCGATCACTAACTAGTCACTATTGGTAGAAAACGCGGGTGTGGGAGGGCTCATTTAACGCCTCCTGGCACCGCCCCACTGATCTCCCAATCGAAGCAGCTTTCATTACTTCTTCTCATTCTTCTGCTTATCACCCTTGAAATTCGTATAATGGAGACATATGAGATCCATAAAAAAAACCTTCCGTAAGTTCGATAAGAAAAGTTCGCAACAAGTACACCGCACATCTCAGTGATGGAGTAGGCGTGGCTGCGCATGGAAGGCGCATTCGTAGTCACCATTCAAAGGCACATTAGCTGATGAACATCCCATAACGAACGGTCACTTCGACTACTGACCGTCCCTTGTGAAAGCCGTACTGTGTGTATTCTCAAGCTTCACAACAGCCGATTACTTTGTAACGAAAACAGAAGTACGGAAAGCGCAAAGGAGTTTAGTTCATTTCAGCTGTACATAGGTTTATCAACGATCAAGTGGGAACGTCATCGTCGTCTTTCGTGCGCAAACGAGTCACTTTCCACGGAATCTGTGCCATAATCCTTTGTTTTCCTTTCCAGAGCGCAGGTCTTCTTCACTGGAACCACTCTTTATTGTGCCATTCTGGGATCGTGCTGAAAATGATTGACCATTTCGCATAGCCTTTTTCTATCACAACCATCTTTTGTTACGATCAGAAGGCGCAGCTCGGCCTGGAGGGGGCATTTTGCACTTTGGTTGGTTTCCTTTGTTAGTTCAGTGCCAATAACAAGTCGCCCTTGGGTGGAACTCCTGTGAACCTGCAAGTGGGTGAGCCATTTTGGTCACAGGAATTTGCAGGTGTCCACAAGGTGGTCTTTACGAACTAGGCTGAGTACCATTCGATATCCCCACTGAGCCGATCT